TACTACTAGTAAGGCACCTGTTACTACTAGCGTGGCACCTGTTACTACTAGCTTCTTGTTAACTACTAGTAAGGCACCTGTTACTACTAGCGTGGCACCTGTTACTACTAGCTTTTTGCGCAAGATCAAATGGTCAATCTCTGTGTCTCACAAGCGTCAGGCAAAAGTGAGCCTTGACAGCAATAGTTTTAGCTTTACACTCTGTGATGATCAAACTTAAGTCCATGGCTAGGCCCAGGTGGCGTCCGAAAGGGAATTAAACTAGAGAAACAGGAAAGAAAAATGGACGGAACAAAAGGTCCAAAGTGTTCCTCTTTGGTATCTAAGAACTTTCTAACAAATTCTAACCCTTTCGACCTCGAATTTCTTGCTTTCCTCTTTGCATCAGAGGCGGAAGCGGAAGCGCTCCCTGGATCACTCAGATGACACCCAGAAGCCGACGAAGCAGAAACCGTTTCTCGGTATTTGCTGGCAAGGTAAAGGCAGTTTGTTAGTTTAGCTTTGTTTCGACGGAAACATGTTTGTCTGAGCTGTCATCTCACTAGTTCTTGGAAAGCTTGTCTCTTAAATGTATATATATAACTTTTCTTCCTGGGAAGTCAATGCCTTTTGATGTGTCCAAGGACCATCTCTCGCCTGGATTTCTGGCTCAGAAGTCCTGCAGGTGAGCAGAATCTCCAGCGACAGCGTGGCGTAACCTTCCTGAGAGACATGAAAAGACCGAAGAAGAGACGGTCAAATGAAGGACCCTAGTAGTTTCTTGTTACTACTAGCTTTTTGTTACTACTAGTAAGGCACTTGTTACTACTAGCGTGGCACCTGTTACTAGTAGCAATGCAAGCTTAATGAAGGACCCCACATCAACATGTTTGAATGTATGAAGTCGATGTGAGGGAAGTGTTTTCACCGGCACAGGTGACCACTACATAGCAGCTTGACTGAGGACGAGACATTTGCTTTGTTCAAGGTGCTGAAACAAAGCACGAAGTGAGAACAGTGCTGAATGATGCTGAATGTATTCTGCTAGAAACTGGAATGACTAATGAGCACGTAGTATTTACTCGCACTAAACCGAAATTGTGACATTTCGAGCCACGGACGAGGAGTTTCTCTAAACACTAAGGAAGCCAAGAATTGCCACATGGTATATCCTGATGGCAATGGCTTCTTGGTTGTGTTTTTTCCTTTGTTCATTCTGTTCACACCGACCTGAATATTCAGATGTCCTTTCTGGCTTCAAGACATGGAATGAGTAAGCTGCCAAGTATACCTTCCCACCTGATCTCACCTGAGGCTATTTTCCGGATTCAATCTCTACCCGCGCAAGCCGACACGTGGGGGAGTTGGAAGCATTGGTGAAGGATGGAACGAAATGCAATTTGCCTGCGCTTTGAGAGAACATGAAATAACTGAATTAATCATAGTTAATCCAGAACATAACTGTTCTTTGGGCATTGGTGACCGTGAGGCACGGTGATCTTCGTGGTCCAAAGAGAAGACCTCCAAGGCTCTGTGCGGCCCTCCGAGCATCACGACCCAGCCTTTGCTGCAGCTTGTCGCTTCTCGACTTCTGAGTCTTCTCGGTTTTGAGAAAATGCGCCGCGCTTCGCTCTTGCGATTGCTTCTCTTTTTCGCTCTTGCGTTCTCCGTTCTGTCCCACTCGTTTGTTGCCGCTAAACCTTCCCTTTCCGTCTCACCGGTCACCGGAAGTTAAGCTTGAGCTGAGGCCGGGCAGCTTTAGCAGGAGTTTGTTTTCGTGCCGTGCTGGTCTCTTGCAGCCTCTCTGGGCCGGGGACCTTGGGAGTGGGCAGAGATGTGCAGAGTGCAGATCAACCGATGAACTGTCCGTCCCTTGCCTCTTGTGCAAGGCTAACGGTTCAGCGCGAAGTGAATGTGGATTTGGCCGAAGCTTGGTATTGCCCAGACCTAATGTGGGCTGAGCGCAAATCACAAATCCCACAAGGGTTGTGTGAAGGCTAATGCAGTCTCCTATGTGCATACTTTGGAGCCATACTGCTTCGGCTTGTACACATTGACATGTAGCAGAGAAACCAATTTATTACATGCGGTATTTTTCTTTTGGCTGGTGTCGTTTCCAGAGCTGGAAACAAAAGAGGATAGATAAGGTACATGCCATATTCTTCCTCAGTGTGAAGAGTGTGACGCGTCTCCAGACTTGTGAACGTTGAACACCAATTCTGCGCGCATGCTAGATGACCTGATTCTGCTAGCATCGTCTTAGGAATATGACCTGCGACCAATAGCTGCCTGGGTGGCCGAAAACCGCAACTGCACTGGCTGGATCCGATCAGCATCTGGGACCTTTGGAGGTGTGAGAAAAGCGGCTAAAGCGGCTAAAGGGTGACTGGCTAAGGCCAAAAGGAGCCCTTGGACCTGTTCTCTCTGAGAAGTCTCAAAGTCGGAGTGTTCACCCTCCAGGGAATCATGTCTCCACTAGGCATGTCGTGTCGAGAACAAAAGATGTACTTTTTCGCGCCATGGTGGGTCTGAGGCATCCCAGCGGCGTGTGGCCAATGGCCCCTTTCCGCATGAGCGGCAAAAGTGTGGATCTTGGAGTATTTCGGTTTCCACGGTCTTGCCGTTTCTTTAACATTTTTTAACGGGTGTTAAGGCCAAGATGGACAAGGCTCAAGGTCTTTAGATGTTCTTAGATGCTCTTAGAAATAGTACGTCGCCCAAGCCTTTCTGACTTGTCGTTTCTCTTAGACCTTTTCTTCCCTCTCTTTTTTCTTTTTAAACAAGGTTAACTTCTTGCTTCTAATCAGTGGTACTTGTAGGGCTGACTTAGGGCCAGGCCTTTGGTTTCAAAGGCTTTGGGTGGATCTTGGCCTGAAGTATCCCTCTACTGCCGAAAAGACCGTGGTGTCAAAAGCCTTTGATTGGATGTGTGATCTCTATCTCCAAACTGACGAAGCCTAGAGACCATCAGATCTTTGATACCGACAGGAGTATCATGTCCTGATGTCCTGTTTCACTGGTGCGGTCCTTGTTCTCTAGGTCACGTGATATCTTTGCCATTGATTTGAAGGAGGAGGCCATTGACATTTGAATGTAAGTTGCTGCAGGCTTCCAGTTGCTGCAACAACTTCAAGAATCATCCTTTGAGTTTCTCGCACCACCAGCGCAGGTTGGGGTGTGGCAAGAACACCATAGAAGCAGTAGTTTTCCCATGCCAAAATCTAGGAAGCAAATGAATAGCGCGAGTCCTGCGTCCTATCTAGTTGCTCCTATTGCTAGCTTAGGTAGCTCACCTCCCTACTTAAGCGCCTACTTGAGGGCTCATGGCGTCGACCCAAAGGGTTTCACCGACACCTGTTTGATCGGTTTTTCCTTTCTCTTTCGGCAGGTAACCATCGACCTCGAAGAGTCCGAGATCGACCGAGATCGCTACCGGAATGCGACCGAATCAAAAAGAAAAGCGACGGCAACCGAAAGCGGGAGCGCAACAGGAAGAGCTTTGAATGTTGAATTGTTGCACTTAAAGGTTGAATTGCGCAGCGAACAGTCACAGCAAAGTGTGCAAAATTTGGAACCAAGACATCCCCAACGCAGCTTGGTCTCAGGAAGCAACGGCGCCGGCTTCCCACGGAGCTCAATGAGTCCTGGAAGGAACTCCGCAGTGCCCACGAGGACGAAGAAACTCTTTGACTTAAGACTTGACGCCTAAAAGATCTAAAAGGATTCCGAGCAACCTAAGAGCGATGGCCTCCAACCTACTAGCGATGGCCTCCAACCTACTAGCGATGGCCTCCAACCTGATAGCGATGGCCTGCAACCTACCAGCGATGGCCTCCAACCTGATAGTGATGACCTCCAACCTACTACTAGCGATGGCCTCCAACCTACCAGCGATGGCCTCCAACCTACTAGCGATGGCCTCCAACCTGATAGCGATGGCCTCCAACCTACCAGCGATGGCCTCCAACCTGATAGCGATGGCCCCGGCGATGGCCTCCAACCTGTTACTAGCGATGGCCTCCAACCTACTGGCGATGGCCTCCAACCTGATAGCGATGGCCTCCAACCTACTAGCAATGGCCTCCAACCTACTAGCAATGGC